CAGGCACCATGGACTGGAAGACGCTCCAGGGCCTCCTGAGCGGGGTCAACAAGTACTCGACGGCGTTCGGGCGCATCTGGCTGTCGGTGGTGTTCGTCTTCCGCGTGCTGGTGTACGTGGTGGCAGCCGAGCGCGTGTGGGGGGACGAGCAAAAGGACTTCGACTGCAACACCAAGCAGCCAGGCTGCACCAACGTCTGCTACGACAACTTCTTCCCCATCTCCAACATCCGCCTCTGGGCCCTGCAGCTCATCTTTGTCACCTGCCCCTCGCTGCTGGTCATCCTGCACGTGGCCTACCGCGAGGAGCGGGAGCGGCGGCACCGCCAGAAGCACGGCGACCAGTGCCCCAAGCTGTACGACGACGCGGGCAAGAAGCACGGTGGCCTGTGGTGGACCTACCTGCTGAGCCTCATCTTCAAGCTCATCATCGAGTTCGTCTTCCTCTACGTGCTGCACACGCTCTGGTACGGCTTCGGCATGCCACGCCTTGTGCAGTGCTCCAACGTGGCCCCCTGCCCCAACACCGTGGACTGCTACATCGCCCGGCCCACCGAGAAGAAGGTCTTCACCTACTTCATGGTGGGCGCCTCTGCCGTCTGCATCGTGCTCACCATCAGCGAGATCTGCTACCTCATCTCCCACAGGATCCTGAAAGGCGTACGCAGGAAAAGGTCCCCTGACAGCCGCAACCCCAGGTCCTCAGCCAGCCGGGCCTCCACCTGCCGCTGCCACCATAAGCTGGTGGATACGGGAGAGTTTGACCAAGACTCCCACAGTGACAAGCCACGTGCTTCAGCACCCACCCTGACCCCCATCTGACCGTGGGCTGGGGAGCGATACCCGGTCTGCCAGTGGGGACAGGTAGGGAGGTATCGCACCGGTGGAGGGGTCCTCCAGGGGCTGGGTGCCCCTACTTTGAATTCATCAAGCTATCCAATTTCATTTTGGGCAGATACTTTTTGAGTGCTGGGCACTGGGCTGAATACTTGGGTATAGGTCACAATGCAGGCCCAGTGTCAGCCCTCGGGGGAGAGCGACACTGAAACAAGCAAATTGACTGTGCAAGGGGATGCTTAGGGCGCTCACAGCAGGGCTTCTACCTAACCCAGGAGGGCGTGAGCAGGCAAGGCTTTCCTAAGAAAGTAATGTTCAAGAGAGGTGAGAAGTGCTTCCAAGCAGAGAGAAGGGCAGGCGCAGAGGCCTGGAGGCCACAAGAAGAGAGATGCTTGCCCTGGGTTGGATGCACCAGACCAAAAAGAATTTCCCTTCCCTTGGGAGAAGCGCCCAGATTCTTGCAGTGCAGAGGAAGAAATCTCACAGCAGCAGGAGGTCTGGAGCCTGAGAATGGGCTTGGGAAGAGGAGGAGGCAGCTCTGGTGACACCAACCTCTCCTTGAGACACCCAAGGATCCTCTGAGTCACCACTGCCCTCAGGGCAGGTCCCCCTCTCCCAGACTCCACTCTCTCAGCCTCAGGAAGCTTTGCTCCCATCTTCCTCCTTGCAAATGAGCTCAGTCTTGTGCCAGCCTTTCAGACCCTGCTCCCTGGGACTCTGGGTGGATGTCCTGATAGGCAGTTTCCTTGAAATCAATAAAGGCTGTGTTTTATACAGGTTGGCTCCGACCTCTGTCCTCCTACACTCCACCCACAAGACCCTGAGGGCAGGGAAGGTAGTCCTCTGAAGGAGGGAGAGCTCCAAGGCTGGGGTGAAGGTAGGGTGTGGGCTGAAGTTAGGCTGGGCTGGGATTGACAGGTGGGAGCTGGGATGGAATCTACTGTGATTAGAGACGTGGCCACGGGAGGGCGCTATGCTCCCGCTACAACGGTTCTAGCGGTTTAGAGGGAGACTGTCCTGAGCACACACAATCACTGCCCTCTCATTACACACAAATCAGTCCCTCCTCCTCTGTCACCCGGGCACTGCCATCCACAACCGCATCCCCGCCCTGTGTACACAAAATCCCTGTTAGTCATACTCTCACTCATATATGCTCACAACAGGCCAGGTGTCTCCTCTACGGGCATGTAGTCCCAGCCTCACCCAAGTGTTATTCAGCTCTTTTTATTTTTCCTGGGCATTTTTCCCACACCAAGCCCCTGGCAGGGTGTTGAGACTGTATAGGGAGTAAGAGCTGAGCCCAGATTGCTCAGAGCTTGGGGGAGACGGAAACACACTCCCTCATTAACAGCCCTCTGGGTGGCTCACAGCCCCACTCCCAGGATTGTGTGATGTCCTGAAATTTAGGGAACACCAATATCCAAGGCCAGACCAGAATGGGAAGCAAAAGAGCTACAAAGGCTATAATGACCTAGAGGAACATTTGGTGACTATTAAAGCCAAGGCCAGGAGGCAGTAAGCCAATGCAGGCGGGGAGAGGTCGGGTCACCTTGTAGACAGAACAGGCTGTGGTTCACCTTTGCTCTCCAGTGTGGCCATTAGTGAGATGGATACTCCAGCCAAGTGTAAGGCCCCAAGGCTGGGCTAACACCCACCCTCAGGTCTGAGTCATAGCTTAACCACTTCATGATCACAGCTTCACCACGCTACACCTTGGCAAGCTTTCAGAACCTCAGTCTTCTCACCAATACAATGGGAACCGTATCGACCAGGGTCCTGGCAAGAAACAGATAGCACATTCAAACGAAATAATTTTAAAGAGTTTCCTGGAAGGGCTGTTTTAAAAGGTATGGGCATGGTTAAGGGAACCCACAAAGGGTAACTGCAGTATCCTGGGGCTGGTACCAGGGTAACAATGGACAGGGTTGCCACACAGGTGCTGTGGGATGCATCCAACCACAGCAACCAAATAAATACCCCAATTTCACTCTCCCAACTCCTGCTCACCTGCCGGTGGCTCCCTGCCGGTTGACCCAACCCAACCAGAAGCCAGAGCAAGGAGGTGGTCAGCCTCCCAGGGCCCAGAGCAGGGTGGAGAAGGGAGAATACGGATCAGACAGGCGAGGGAAGGTGTTCATCCCAGCACTCAGGACAGTGCCTAGGATTGTTGCAGAGACAAAAGGAGATGCTGCAGGTAAAACATTAGTACAGAGCTAACATGTGGAGTAAACACCCAAGCACAAACGTGCTTACGAAAGTCTCTGCCTGCTGCCCAGGCCATGTGGTGCCCCAGCCTCAGCTTGGACTGGACAGTTGCAAAGGTCTCAAGGAGAGGTGATCTCTACCTACTTGCAGCCATGCAGTCCAGAATCTTCCAGGATATTCTGGCTGCCTGGCCAAGGGTGGCTTAGAGATCAGAGCAATCAGAGAACATCATTGGCTATCCCAGAATGGACTGAGCTTCCAGCCTGACCCTGCTTCTCCAGGCTGCAGGCCAGGACCATGGGTGAGGGACATTCCAGCCCTGGACATCCTGCCTTTGGCCTGAGAGCTATTTTGAGCATCACAGCTTACTGTTCTCATCCAGTATGTGTTGGGCTAATGTTCATCACCCAGGGTCCCCAGTGCACATCACTGTCACCACAAGGTAGCTCTCATGTCCCCTTGGCCTTCTTTACTCAGGGCATACTCCTCTATTTCCTTCTCCCCTACTGCAGGAGAGTTCACTTGCAAGCTCCCTTCAAAGGTTCATGAACCTTTGAAATGAATCTAACAGATTTCAGTTTCATATACACAGCCACAAGTCCACATCTACTGCCTGATGTAACAGCCACCCTGCAGCCCTAGGCAAACGTTATTTTGTATTCATCACCCTGGTCCACATCCCATTATGGACTGAATGTTTGCATTCCCCCAAAATGCATATGTTGAAATCCTGACCCCCAATGTGATGATATTAGGAGGCAGCACCTTTGGGAAGTGATTAGGTCATGAGGGTGGAGCTCTCATGAATGGGATTAGTGCCCTAATAAGAAGAGACATGAGAAGGATGTTCTTTTTCTCTCCACCACGTGAGGACCGGTTGAGAAGATGGCCCTGTGTAAACCAGGAAAAGGGCAGTCACCAAGAACCCAACCGTGCAGGCACCCTGATCTCAGACCTCCAGCCTCCAGAATGGTGAGAAATCCATTGCTGTTGCTGGAGCCCCCGAGTCTGTAGTATTCTATTACAGGAGCCTGAGCTGACAAGGCACCCCCATCATTCTTCACTTGGATTACTGCAACAATCCCCCTCCCGCCTGCCCCTGACCCAGGGAAGCAGACGCTGAAGAAGAGTTAAGAGTGCAAAGGGTATTCTGGGAAGTAATACCATGAATGGCAAGGGGAGGAAGTAGACTGAGCAACAAGACCTATGGCAGGGAGCTCTGTATCCAGAGACGAAGATTGTCCATTAGAGGAGCCCGCACTGGGTGGCAATGGTTGGGTTCACTCATCGCCTGGGGCTGCCCCAAGCAGAACTTGGCCACCTGGACAGCTGCAGCAGACCCGAAAGTGTTAATAGCTGACCAGACTCCCCACAGCTGGGCAGCAAGTCCTATATTACAGGGGGGCATTCACTGAGCATCACCCACCCCCATAGTCTATTCCCAGCACAGCAGCCAGGCGATCCTGTCAAAACCCAGGTCAGGCTATGTCACTCCTCTGCCCCAAACCTCCAAAGGCCGCTCACACAGGCCTAAGGAGCCTGCGAGCTCTGCCTCAGCTCACATCTCCTCTGCTCCCTTTCTGAACTCATCCCTTCTCTTTGCTCACCTCACTCCAGCCACACTGACCTCCTTGCAGTTCCCCAAGCAGGAAACACCAGGCACCCTCCTGCCTCAGGGACTTTGCACTGTGGGTTCTGTTAGCTAGGAATGCTCTTTCCCCCAGAGGGCCCCTGGGCTCCCCAAACATCAGCCCTCAGCCCCTTCATGAGAAGTCTTCTCCCTTCTACTCAAAATTGAAACTGCCACCCCCTGCGCCCTCAGTCTTCTCTTCCTACTCTACTTTCCACACAGCATTCATCACCATCTAACAGGTTCTGCATTTCATTTTGTCTGTCTCTCCAGCTAGAATCTAAAATCCACTAGGACAGGGATTTTTGTTCCCTGGTTGCTCTCCAGTGTCTGGGACAGTAGCACAGCACCAGGGGCAATAAATATTTGATGAATTAATAAATTCACATATGGGCCTGGTGCCCTGCTACATGCTGGTGGAGATGTAAACAAGACCCTGCCTGCCCTCCAGGGGCTCACAGTCTAATGGGGGAGGGGTAAAGACACATCAGCAATGCACGGAGGCTGGAGGAGGGAAGTCGGGAGTTGTGCATGGGGAATAGAGTTTTAATTTTGCAAGATGAAAATGTTCTGGAGATCTGTTGCATAACAATGTGAACATACTAACGCTACTAAATGGTACACTTGAAAATGGTTAAGATGGTGAATATTATTTTGTGTTTTTTAACACAACTAATTTTTTTTTTTTTTTTTTTAATTTTAATGCATCCAGGGGCAGTATCTGAGCCCCTGAGAGTACAAAAGAACACCTAACCCAGTGGAGGACAGCCAGGGGACCTCTGGGGGAAGGCGACACAGAGCAAACGCCTGAACAGCCTGTAGGGTTCAGAATGTGAGGGTGCTCTAGGCACAGGGAACAGCATGGACACAGCAAGAGTGCACAGAGAACCACAGCAAAGTCTGGTTGGATCATGAAGTGAAAGGGAAGAGGCTGGAGAAGTGGCCAAGGCCAGGAGGCAATGGGGAGCCACAGAAGGGTTTAAGCAGGGCAGTGCTCTGGTCAGGGAAGGGTAGAGGCTGGGAGACCATCTGGGAGGCCAATGAGATGATGGCCTGAACAGGGCCAGGGCAGTGGGAGTGGAGGGAGGGGTGGGGTTCTAAGGATGTTTTCCAGGTGGAATGGCCAGGTTATGGGAATTACTGTCTTGGCTGATCCACTTTTCCCTTGGAAGGGGCCAGGTCACTCAAACCCTGACCTCCAGAGCGCCCGAAGAAGCAGTAGAGCAGGGCGAGGGCAGGCTTGACATCTCCTGTTCCTCCTCCTTCCCAGCAGATGAATCCAAAAGGTCTTGGGAGAGCCTGGGCCTAGCCCCAGGAGAGGAGCTCTGGGAGCAGAGACTACAGTGGGGTGTGATGAGAAAATCGGCCTCCTGGGGCCTCTGTTCTCACG